TGCCCTCCAGCAACGCACTGCAGGCAGCCCGCGGGGAAGGGCAGCCCAGCGCGGGGCGAACGGCGCCGTGCCTTAGCACAAACATCACCTCCTCGCTGCCTCTATCCTGCCTCTGCCTGGCAAACTGCGACTGTCGGAGGAGAACTAAACTACGCGCACCTTTGGTTTGCCACTGCCACCCCCAAACCATTTGCCATTCGCTATGTACCTCCCCATCACCTTCTGTGTCACTCGCTGCTTTAAATAGCAGGCCACAGGCTGCCGTCCTCCCCCTGTTCGTTGCCATTCCCATCCCCTCGGCTGCCTGTTTTCAGCCTTTCGTTACCACCCCCACCCCCCATTCTTGATTTATAAAACAAGAGTGCACCTCCTCTATAGCTGCCACCCCCAAGCTGAATGTCTTTCCCACCTTTCACAGCTTCACGCGAGGAAGCAACTACTGCTTCACAAACTAATTCCCGCTGCTATTCCCACTCTGCCCCCCTACTGCTCCCTCGCAGCCTACTTATTCCACACTACAATCAACCTGCTCCCATTTGCTCCTTCATCCCAACGGCAGGACCTCTCAGCGGACTTCATACTATCCTACCTCATCTGCTCACTCACGCAGTAGATCTGCCCCATCTCCCCAGTCGCTGTTTTAAAACCTGTTACTTGTGTGCTTACGGCAAAACAACTGACCTCTACGGACCGACTCTTCCACGACAGCTACCACTCGGGCCGCCTAAGTCTCAAAGGAAAGACATTCTCTCCCTTGTTCATAGGACGTATCTTCCGCTGTACCAGGCACAGACCCACTCACATCCCCTGCTTCAGCAAAATAAAACGAGTAGAAAGCAAGTCTCTCATACACAGAAACGATACCACCAAAACTTCACGCATCCTTCTGCCCTCTTCGGGCTTTTGACCTTCATAGGTCTGTGACGGTGGAAAAAGCTAGCAGGGCTGTTTTGGTTTTACCTGACTGTCATTTTGACGTTTGCAGTTTGTGGCAAGCTGAGGCGCAAGATGATCTTCAGGTCTCTCCTACACACTGACACAGAAGATGACCTCAAACCTAGCCAACGAAAAAAGAAAAAGCCCAACAACTTTACATACTGATTCTTGACATTTAAAAGCACGACCCCCCCCATCTCCTTCTCCTTCACATTCAACAATTTGCCTCTGCTGAAAAATCAAACTGTGTTAATGACACCTCAATTCTAATTTCCTAAATAAAAATGCAAGTGTTAAATTTGGGCCCTCAACAATGACCAGCAGTATCAACGTTGCCTCAGTTAATATTAATTTACACAGAGGTTTGGGCTGACCCCTCCGATTCAGGCATCTGTATAAAGTCAGTTACTAAGTAGTTCTACTGGCTTAAATGAGACTATTGCAATGAATAAAATTTTGGACATAGGCTTTTGAGTTATATTAATATACTGCTTACCATTTAGTTTGAATAATTTTAAACATTTAACGTACATGTACAGGTGTAATATACTTGACAACTCCTAGGAATGTTTTTACCTACTTTAATTAGACATTTGCAGTCTTTAGACTTTTCTGGTTTTTCTTCATACCACAAATATTCCCAAATACAGTGAACCAAAGTAACAAGACTATCTCAGAACATGTAAAATGTATAATCTCATTGTTAAAATAGGAGCAACAGTTTATTTTTTTTCAGATTCTTGACAGAATCCTTGGCAAGGATTAAATCCTTTCTAAAGGCTGCTGCAAATGTGACAAAAACTGTTTCGACAATTTTGCACTGCACTGCGTTATTGCATAATTTAAACAGCTGAGTAACTACAGAGTCTAGTATTTTCAGTTCATTTTCATAAAAAAGTGATTATACATGCCTGAACTTCGAGGCAACTACAACCAAGTATTGCATCATATTCCCACTACACTTTGTGTACAAGCATCACAAGCAGCTATTGTTTCCCCCAGAAGTGACGTATTTTATACAAAATTGAAAACATCACGTGAGAGATTAGGTATGAAAATTTATTTTCCAGACCAATGTGCAAAATTATTGGGTTGCAAAACAAACTACATTTTGTCCTTAGCCAATACCATCAAGGTTTCCTGCCACATTTTCATATTCATTTCTTCAAAACAAGAATGCTGGCAATGTACTTGCTCTAGGTGTATACAGCAGAACTCACTCCAAGCTCTTGTATTGGTAAAGAATGGAAGTAGCAGTATTTGCGAAAGTGGAAGGTTACAAGCATTGCTAAACCAGGCACAGCAGTTTTATACAGATTTCCACCACTGCATTTCAATCACATGGTGGTCTGCTCCAAACCTGGTTTTTTGACCCAAGCAGTTAGCCAGGCAAAATCTGAAAACGACCGCATGTCCCAGCAGACAAAGCCACCATTAATGAATGTGCATGGATTTGACATAATTGGTTACTTACACTGAAACCCCTTTCCCTGATCATAGAAAAAATCCTATTTACTAATAGAGCAATAACCTCTATGCCTTTAAGCAGTTTCCATGAAAGAGGAGTCAATTCAGTTTCCCACGAGGGAAGGCTGTGAATTTGGCCTTCAATCTCTGTTGAGCCTCTAAGCTGGCTTTTATCACCAGATCAGGGATTTTATTACATTTTTAAGCACTTACGCCTTACCCGACTCTGAAAACAGCACACTTCTGGCAGGGGTTTTTTAGCTGTTTGGTACAAAAGAGCCAAGCTGTTCAGATCTTGGGGCAGGGTCTCGTATCCGTGTGGTCTCCCTAACGCTAAGCACTCAGCCTACAAAGGACAGTAACAAGGTTGAAATTCAAAATCTTGTCAGGCTGACGGCCAGCAGAGACAGCTAACGTGGGCAGAGCGACATTTTACTGTTCCGGCAGATAAGCTGACCAGACCTCAAGTGAGATATGCTCATTTCCAATGCATGCAAGCACTCCTAGCTGAAGTTTTCCCCCCCCCTTCCCTTCTGCACCGCACCCACTCACCGCCCCAACTAAACCCCCGCTGCCACGCTGTTAGACACGCACCAACAAACGTTGGCGCATAAACCGCCGACGCAGGACGAAGCTCCTCCTTTCGGTGTATCGTTCAACCAGACCAAGTCCCCACCCCACCGAGCCCAT